TACGTCGGATTGTTGAAGAGTGCTCTCAGAGAGCAGGTGTGTGAGTCATGGGTTCTACCTTCCTATTTTTTTATCATGTTTATAACAAAAGAAGGACTCAATGTAGACTCCTAAATTCTGAGCATTCAGAAATTGTTTGAAGGGTTGTATTATAGATTTTAAATACTCGTATTTTGACAAATTAGATGATAAATCCGTCGGTTGCTTTAATTATTCGACTGTGAATATTACTTTTATAATTGTTTAAACCACGTTATATATACATTTATTTAATACTGTTGAGATTAAACGTTGTCCTTTAATTTATTTTTTATTCATACAGACCACCAATGCAGTTACATTCAACAATGAATACGTACAATGGGAATTCTCACAACGGTCCAAATCCAATATCTTCAGCAAAAGGGACCGCGTCAATGCATCACCCTGCATTTGTATCACAACAACAGCAGCAACTGCACCATTCATCCATAACTTCCCCCTTGGGATCTAACATGCCGCCGACCCGTCCAACATCCGCCTATTATCATAGTGCCTCCAACGCCAATAGCAGCGGAGCAGCACCGACAAGCAATGATCAACTGCAACAGCACTTGGTCTCTCAACAACAACAATTTACACACCACTCACTTAACATGAGTGCTAGCAGTAGCAATTTGAATAGTGGCAACATGTCAGCGACAGCTCTGCAACAATACCAACAGCATCAACAACAACAGATTTTATCAAAAATGGCGCCACAATCCTCACTAACGATGGGAAACCGATCAAGGAGCACTCAGAATTTCAATCGCGACATGCAGAATCAACATAGTCTGCGCATGCAACAAATGATGGCGCCTTCAATGCCAAACATAAGTAGCGCATCCCAGCAGCAACACATGTCAGCTAGCCAGAGTATGCAGAATGTAAATATGAGCGGTGCGGACCCTACACTAGGGTACCAAAATGGCGCTGGAGGTGATGGTTATATACAGCAGCAACATTCACCTGCCGGGCAGACGTTTCGTCGCAATCCATTAAACGAGTTCATGTCTCAGGGCGGTGGCGATGGAACTCAACACTCTCCACATATAATGCTGCAGCAACAGCAAAACTTTATTTCGTTACCCCCGAAACCTGGTAGCTTGCAGAAAGTGTCACCTACGAAGCAGCAACAACAGACTCAGCATTTACCACCCACAGCTCCGAAGCCGCAGACGAATCGAATACAACAGCAGCAATTCATGCAGCATCAACAACAACAACATCAGCAAACTATGTACCAGCAGCATATTGAGGATAAGCCACCGCTACCACCGACGGCCACGCATCCGCTTTACAAACCGACGCAACAAATAACACCTGGTATGAATTATGTAGCCAGCACTTTAGACCCTCCGAAAGGTGGCTATGTGCCTGTATCCTCAACAGCACCATTACAAAACCAGAAAAACTTCTTAGGGACCAATCCTTGGGAGCGTGAAGAGCGCGAAAAGGAAGTGGAAATGCGGCGTGAACATGTGCGTCAATGGCGGGAGCAACAAATCGCCGATATTTCTTCCCTGCCACAAAGAACGCCACAGCAAGAAGAGCAACTCAAGACTCTTATACTGGAACGTGATTTTGAGCGGCGAGCTCAGGAGGCAGAAGAGCATGAAGATGAAAGTGAACCATCGTACGAAAAGGAGAGCGCACAAGAAGTATTCCGCCTTCAGACAAACAGCATACAAATGCCAGTGACTAACTTCAGACAAACAGAGATAAAAACCTCGTCTGTGTTAGATAATATTGGCGGAGGTACCAACAGCACGACCGGCTCTTTGGAGGAGTCGCCTTTGTCTTCGGCGCGCAGTTCAGCAGCTGTCGTATCGGATGCGGCGTCCGTGCTTCAGCAGCAGCAACCACCTCCTTTGCCAAGCAACCCACCGCCTGCGACAGGAGTGACCACGGCAGCAGCTACACAACCTAAAGGCATTTTGAAGAACAATCGCTACGATGGGGCCAGCGGCGCCGCACCATCCTCGCCATCCAAATCTCAAAAATCGACGAGCTTTGCTGATGATCGACACTTGCAATCCGAACACCCAATATCAAGTTTGGCCAAAAACTTGTCACATATATCAATCAGTAATTCCGTTTCAACTGGCATTTGCTCACCTACAACGCCTACTGTAGGTTCTTCAACACAGAATACAAGTGTCGACAGTTCAACTGTTCCACCGCCTCCCCCGCCAGAGCGCAATAGCTCTTATCTCGTTATGTCACAACAAAAATTACGCAACTCCTCCATCGGTCTTTTAAAAACAGCTACGAGCAATTCTGCTGATTTACTTAACCAGAACCAAAACTTGGGGAATAATTCGAATCTATTGAATAATAATGCCACCATAAATAATAATAATAACACCAATAGTTGTAGTTTAAATTCGTCCACGTCAGCAGGGACTCCTGCTGGCGCAACAATAAACAACAACATCACCACTAATAACGCGCAGTCCTTAACATTGGAACTATTACCATCCAGTTATATGGGCAACAGTAGTATGTTGCTACGAGATAACAAACGTGTTTCATTCCATAACGAAGAGAACAACTACATAGGGGCAGCTCAGTCGTATGGAACAACCGGAACAGGGTCATCTTCTGACATGTACTCCATGAATAGCGACTCCCAAATTCCTCTAGATCTGGATGCCATACTCGAGGATAGAAACGTAAGTTTATTAACGTATCGGACCGTGAATTTTTGAATTTCAAGTTCCTTTCTAAATTTTGATGATTGGGAAGATGTTGACGTGTATTGTGATGCCGTCTACTTCTTTATATATAGAATTCCAATATGCGCGGGTTTCTTAATACTTCTCATAGTTGATCGTGTTGCGGCGCAATAGTTTTTACGCCCAAAATCAAAAACGACTTGAACAATTAGTTTCAGACTTAATTTTATTTTCCTTTCTCCCTTATGAACTCTAAGCGAATACAAAACCTGATTTCAATAGGTTCAGCTTAAATAGTGCTTTTTGATACAGTTAGAAGTGGGTACATAAATATGCGAGAGAGATTATGTATTCAAATAAGTACTAAAATGAACTACATAGTTACAGCATGTGCATACATATATACATATGTATGTTAATAATTGTTACATATAACTACATACTTCGCATGGAATAGCGGATAATATTTACGTACATACATGCATATTTCAGCTTAGTAAATTCACTTACAGTGGGTCTAATACACCAATTCAATCAAGAAATTTAACTTTAAGAAATATTACAAATCATACAGAAGCAATACAATGAGCATACATGAATACGCAACATGCCGGCGCCCTTGATGTGCCCATAGAGACATCAACCAACTTTAATCAGCTTTCGGAACTATCGCTACCTTATGTATAGCGCGTCGAAGACAACCAATATTTGTTTTTACGTCAACCACTCTTACTGCTCCAGATGGATCGGCTATCGTCTTCACTACTCGACCCAGAAGCCACTGTTTTGGTGGTAAATTATCTTCTGAAATTAGGACCTAGCTGCCTTCTTCGATGTTTCGCATCTTCGCCGTCCACTTAGATTTTCGTTGCAATTCGAGTAAATACTCACGCGACCACCTTTTCCAAAAATGCTGTTGGATGGCGGTAAGTCGTCTCCAGCGATCTAAGAACTGAATGTTTTCATCTTCAATTGACGGCTCAGCAATGCCTATTAAAGGTCCACCAGTTAAGAAATGTGCTGGTGTCAGCGCTGCTTCATCATTTGGGTCATTTGACAAAGCTGTTAACGGCCGCGAGTTCAAAATCGCCTCAATTTCTGCCACCACCGTGCTAAGCTCCTCAAAAGTCAAATACGTTTGCCCTAGAATGCGAGTTAAATGATATTTTGCTGATTTGACCGCTGCCTCCCATAAGCCTCCAAAGTGAGGTGAACGGGGAGGTATGTGATGAAAGGTAATTTGGTTGGAATAGCAATACTTAGTAATTTCACCTTGAGTTTGTTGATCATTGAATGCCTTGCATAGATCCATAAGCTCACGCCGAGCACCAACAAAATTTGTGCCATTATCACAAAACAGCTTTGTGCATAAGCCCCCGCGCGCCACAAACCGTTTCAGTGCCGCGATGAACGCCTTCGAGGTTAGGTCTGAAACCACCTCCATATGTACCGCCTTTGTTGCGAAGCAAATAAACACCGCAATGTAACTCTTCGTAACACGCATTCCTCTTTGCTTGTATGTCGTTGCAATTGGGCCACAAAAATCAACACCTACCGTTGTAAAGGGTTTTGCGACAACTACCCGCTCGGTCGGCAGGTCACCCATAACCTGCTGCGCAAGAACTGGTCGACATCGAAAGCAATGCACACACCGCGTCGTCACGGATCGTACAACCTTTCTCGCATGCACTATTCAGAAGCGATCAGTGCTTCAGTTCCAACATGCTTATTTTCGATGTGCACAAAACGTACAAAGCTGCGTACGAAGCTGCTAACGCCAGGTAGCAATATTGGATATTTAACATCATATGGTAAATCGGAGTTTCGTAATCGACCCCCAACTCGCAGAACTTCCACCCCACAAGAGGCTTCAATGAATACGCAGAGGCTTCTCACTTTACTTGAAGCAGGTATCTCCCTGTTCTTTTTCAGTTCGCGGTATTCTGCGGCGAAGAAATGCTGTTGTAAACAGTATGCGATGCGAATCATTGCTTCATCTAATACTTCAGCCGTCAGTAGAGGAAGATTACCCTGCTCCCCTTTTATGCGACGTCCCACACAAAGACAATAAGCGACGATTCTTTGCGTTTGCCTGAAGTCGTTTCGTCCTTCTAACCAATGCAAGAAGTGGTTTGAATTTATTTCGGCTACCAGCAAGGTAGCACTTTTTCGCCTCTCTTCGTTAACCTGTACATCTTTGCCATGTCTTTTGTTCGCAGGCCATTCCGCGCATGGCTTCATAAGGAACGGTGAGCCTGTGAACCAAATTGAGTTCGATAATTCATCAGCATACGCACCTCTCGACACAATATCCGCTGGATTCTGCCCCGAAGGAACATGACGCCAAATAGCTTGCTTAGTTACTTCTTGAATAGACGACACTCTGTTGGCTACGAAAGTGGTCCACGTCGATGGATGAGCACTTAACCACTCTAAGACTATCTCCGAATCACTCCACAAATAAATCGCTTCCGACATCATCGGCAAATTCTCCACTGTCTTCACCATCAACAACGACAACAAGTGAGCCGCCATAAGCTCTAACCGCGGCAGTGATTTAGTCTTTAACGGAGCAATACGCGATTTGGCAGTCCATAACTGCACGTTTACGTTATCGAAATTATGGACACATCTAATATATACGCCGCAACCGTATGCTCGCTCAGATGCGTCAGCGAATCCATGAACCTCTTGCATATTTATTCGCGCTCAATATATAACGTGGCACTTTAATATTTCTTTGGATCAAATAATGTGGACATCTCTGCTAACACAACTCGTTTGGTGA